TTAAAGTTATTTACAATAACAATCTTTTCGTATAGTAATTAAAAACTTTATTTTATGTTGAAAATAAACAATGCACTCAATTCGGTTATGCTGATTCTACAATTTCAAAACAATGTTGGGGTCAGCTAGCCAAATTGACAAAACAAAAAATAACAACATTTTTGGCACAACCGAGGCTATAAGTTCTTCGGCTGTGACGAAAATCGGCAGTAGGTAATACTCTGCTGTATTACAGTAATAAAAATAAAAATTAAAAAATAAAGTCGTGACATTCCAGCTTGCTGTTAAAATATGTGGTAAGGTTATCTTATAAATATAATAAAAAATAAAATAAAAGCTCAAAAGGTATTTCTGAGAAAAGTAACCAGTTGGTTCTTTAAAGTCTTTGTAGTGTATATATTGTAGATTTGGGATGTATTATTATGGAAATGGAAATTAAAAAGATTGAAATAAAATTATATTTTTGGAAATGGCTTTATTAAAATTTGAGTTGAAATATATTTTTGGAAAGTACTTTATTTTATCTTTAATAAAAATCTAATTATTTTTAAATGCAATTCGTGACAATAGTAATTCTAATTACTTTATTTATTTGTTTAAGAAAAAAATTTAAACTTAATCTAATTCAAAAATGTACCAAGCCAAAGAAGAAAGAAAATCCGAAGAAAGAAATTTATTTAGAAGAAATTCCAGAACGAATGTCAAGACAATCTAACCCTGTAATTTCACTCTAAGAAGGGAGGAGTTACAACCCCAATCCAAGGTGCGGTCCACCCACATGAATGCGGATCCAGCCTAATCAGCAGGAAGCTTATCAACCTATAAATACCATTGTTCTCAATTTTAGAGGCAGATTCATTATAGCCACTCGTAATTACTGTTCGGGAGAATCTCTGTTAATTTTCGAAATAAATTGTTTTTTTTTAAAAAGTATTTTCACGCTCGTTTAAATTTATTTTACTAGATGATTTACGTGAAGGATTTCCATGTGCATTTTTAACCCATTGACGGGCGTGTCTGCATATACAGACAGGTATCTAGGGACGCGTCTGTATTTGCAGACAATATTTACATTCCCAAATCACACGCGTCTGTTATTGCAGACGCCTAATCCATTATACCCTGTGCTTGTGTCTTCTAACTGTCCCAGTAAATGCAAAAAAAATACTGAGAAGTGTCCATACACATCAATTTGGTGCGAATTTTTCGAAGTGCGTCTGCGCAATAAATTTGGCGGTTTAATAATCACACAACTGCAATTGCAGTCGGCGTGACCATATGATTTGTGTTGATAGTAAGGATAAGTGTGTGTAGTGAGAACCACGTGTTGTAAATCGGCTGATGAAAATTGCTTTTTGGTGAGAAATATGATATTTTGTATAATATAAATAGAATATAAATTGAATTTTTAGCAATTAGTTATTGGTAAGCATGGATGAAAAGGAAAAAACCCGTTTACTAAAGCTGTACGATGAGGTAGACTCGGATGAATACCAACTAGAAAGTAATTCTGATAGTGAGTCGGAAGCAGAACCATTTAGTGGTGATGACGACCGAGATCCAGATTTTGAACCGTCGGAAAGTGAACTCAGTGAATCTAATCACTCGGAAATGGATGATCCGCCGTTAGTTAGAAACGAACCCGAGGACCAACCCGAGGATGAACCTTTCATAAATAACGATGCTGTAAGTTTTAGTGATGAAGATAGTGATGACGAATGGGTAGATAATACAACAGATATACCTGATTTTCATTTTGATGAAATATCTTCTGGAATCAAATTGCACTTTGCTAACATACCCTCTCCCATTGACGTGTTCAAGGAATTATGGACAAATGAAATTATGGACCTGTTGGTTGAAAGCACGAACAAATATGGCAAAGAGCTTCAAAATTTAAATCGACCCCATCCGAAGAATTCTCGATTCTCGTCATTTACCGAAACTAATAGAGAAGAGTTGTACAAATTTCTGGGTTTGTGTTTGCTGCATGCACAAATTCGATTTCCTTCTATCAGAAAAATATTTTCCTACGACCCACTCTACTATCACCCAATTTTTTCACATACTATGTCTGGCCGCCGTTTTGAATTGTTGCTAAGGGCATTTAACTGCACTAATGAAAATGAACAGGGAAATCGTCTTAATAAAGTAAGCCAACTACTAAAAATGCTAATAAAACGGTTTCAGGAAGCCTATTCTCCAGAAGAACATCTATCATTAGACGAGTCATTGCTTTTGCATAGGGGACGGCTCAGTTTTCGCCAGTATATAAAAGGCAAAAAGGCGAAATATGGCATTAAATTTTATGAGCTATGTTCTCCCAGTGGATACAACCATAACATGGAAATATACAAAGGTAAAGATATTGAGGTCAATGCCACTGCTGGAGATTCCAAATTAGAATCTTTAGTACTTCGCCTTCTGGAACCTTTTTTAGATAAGGGCCACCATGTTGTTATGGACAATTACTATAACAGTGTATCTTTGTCCAATAAACTACTTTGCCGTAAAACGCACTCCACTGGAACACTGAGATCAAACCGAACAAATAATCCTAAAGCTATAACTTCCAAAAAGCTAAAAAAAGGTGAGCACAAATGGTTACGAAAAGGCAAGGTGTATGTGTCCAAGTGGAAGGATAAAAGAGAAGTGCTATGTATCACTACAAAATATCACCCACAGTTGATACAAGTAATGAATTCGTACGGGCAAGAGAAAACAAAGCCAAAAGAAGTAGCCGAGTACAATTTGCACATGTCTGGCGTGGACAGATCCGACCAGTTAACTTCGTATTACAGTTGTCCGAGAAAATCTGTACGTTGGTACAAAAAAGTTATTTTTCATTTACTCGACGTTACACTAATAAACAGTTTTATTTTATACCGCAAAGTCACACAGTCCAAAATAAAGCTGATCGACTTTAGAGAGAGTATTATCAAAGATTTTCTTCTGATACCTCCCCATAATAAAGATGGAAGGCAGTTTGTAAAGCAGGGTGCCTTGAATTGTCCCAGAGCTACAGCACCAGTCCATCAGATAGAGCTAGAGCACATTTTGGAGAAGATTCCGGTACCTGACGGTTATAAGAGAAAAAGCTATTTTCTTCGTTGCAGAAACTGTTCTAAAAATTCTAAGAGAGGCCAAACATCATGGAGATGCCAAGGTTGCGAATCTAAACCTCCACTTTGTGTCGGAAAGTGCTTTGAAAATTATCATAAAACCTAGACAGTGTTGGTAGATATAGATATTTGTTTTTAAAGTTACCACTTACGTTTGTGCCATTTTGTGCAATTTATTTTGATGATTATTTTTTTATGCTGAGAATTTAGCCATTTGTTTTCTTATGTATTTTATTTTTTTTGTTTCAATAAAAAATTTGATAATATGTCTTGTCTGCTTAAGCAGACATGTCCACGCATATCATATAATATGACACGTATGGACGTGTCTGCATTAGCAGACCTTTTGTTTTTTTTTGCAAAAAAATGAGTTAGTTTTTGCTGGTTAATGAATGAACTCCTTATTTTTATATAAATTTTTGAATCGAATAGAAAAATTAGAGTGACCCCATATGATACATTTTTTTCACCTAGCGCTCGTCAATGTGTTAATAAGCAATAGGGCGGACACAGATATTATGGAATTATTTTTTTCTGAAGTCAAGCTACACTCAGGAACTATATCATCAAACGTTTTTATGACTGACATAGTTGACACTTACTACAATGCTTGGACGAAAGAAAGAAATGGGTGCACCAAATAAACGGTATTTCTGATCAAAGTACATTTTTATTAAAATTATACTACTTAATTGTAAATACTTTCAGCTTGTTTTGTACATGGCACATCACGAGAGCATGGCGGAAGAACTTACACAAAATTATATCAAAAGAAAAGCAGGTCAGTATATATTCATTAATTAGATAACATATTTTGTATGTATATATTTTTACAGATCGAAGTATTCAGAAAACTTAGGAGTTTACTGGAAGAACGGGATCCTTCAGCATTTGAAATAATGAATTCAAATTTTTGCAAACAGTTTGATCCAGAAACGACAGATTTCATTGAATATTTTAAGGAATATTATTTAGACAAACGAGAATGTTGGGCATACTGTTATAGGCTTAATAATGGTCTAAATACAAATATGAACCTTGAACGAATGCATGGAATTATTAAGTACATTTATTTAAAGGGCAAGAACGTAAAGCGCTTAGATAAAGCAATCAATGCTATTATGAGATTTGTCCGTGATAAATTAATTAACAGATTAATCGTTACACACAGAGGAAAGATCACCAGTAAAATTCAAGAAATTCGTCGCCGGCATAAGCATAGCCTGTTCATGAATACAAATTTAATAACTAAAATTCCAAATGGCTGGGAAGTAACTTCAGAAATGGCTTATGAAATTTATTTTATCCAAGAAACTTCAAAAATGTGTGATTGTAAACTTATTTGTACAGATTGTTTAATTTGTATTCATAATTTCACATGTTCGTGTATAGATTCATCAATCAAATATAATATATGCAAGCACATTCATCTTCTAACTTAATGGAGGAAGGAAAATCCTGAATACGGTACAGAAGACGTTTACATAAACGATCAAGGTATGTTCTGAAAATACTAAGAATTACTTGATTTTGTTCATTGTACTTATATTTTATTATATATTTTGAATTTAATCGAGTCATACATTTTTGTTACATTTGGGAGATACTTAGCAGCAATAGACTTTAAAACTACAGATATCCACATTGATTCAGAGCTTACAGGTAATGTTGTAATATTTTCAAGGAACTAGGTAACTGTGGTGAAGGCAATGGTGTGGTGAAGGCAATGATGTAGTAATGATGAATATTTCTTGTTAGTTTTAAATATACACACCAGCAAAATTATCTCATAATTAAAAAACTAATTTTGTAAGTAATAACGATAGGCAATTAGGAACAATATGTACCTAGGAAAAAATTAAAGTCGTTTTAATAAATATGCAGGTTTTAGGTATATACAGAAATAAATATGCAAAAATTTTGTTGGTGAATGTATCTGTTTTATGTGCATTCTAAACTATGTTACTTTTTACATTATCATTTTTATTTTGTCGTCAGCTTTGGACACGAATCAGCATCCTGTTGACCAGATTGTTGACAATGAAGACGGCGATGACAACCACTTGTATATCCACTCTATTCCAGATGATGGAACTAGAAACATTCTTCTAGAATTAGGCCACAAAATAGATAGCCATTCAATAGAAAATGAAAAAATAAAAATTATGCAGAATTTGCAAAGGCAATTGGACAAAATTCAGTCCCCCACTAAATTAGAAATAGTAAAAAGAGTTATGGCTCTATTGTCACCAACACTTGCAGCAGCTAAAAACAGAGTAACGCATGAGTTACCAAACCTTCCAAGTCGCCCTCCCAATGCCAAAATTTCTGCTCAGAGAAGGCTCTGGTCCACAAAGAAAAAAGCAAACAAGCCTAATAATTCCTTTAAAAGGCCAACAGTAAAAGAGAAAAATGAAACAGCTGTAATACTTTTGAACGCCACATTTTAAAATTTAAAATAAAAATTGTTTTTAAATTTGTATATTGTTTTATTTACCTATTAATTTAAAATCAATGTAGGTATTTTAACTAATTTTATTTTTTATAGTAGGTATAATACTGTTAAAAAATGTAGGTACTTATAAAATAATAATTCGTCTGGTACAAGTCGTATAATAAATTAGACGTTTTAAGTGGGTAGAGTCCAAACAAAAATTATTTTCATTAAAACCCTGAAAATTTATTAAATCATAGGTATTTTAAATATTAAAATATACATTTAACAAAAATCATCTATTACTACATGTGTACATGAATCGTTTTGAATGAAATTTAAATTAAATTAATGCCAAAAATTATTTTATTCAATAAATGGTATCCACTCTGTATAATCAGTGAAGAATTAACACAGTATAAGTGAACAATACTGTGGGGTCACTTTTCTATTGTTTCTATTGTTCAATGCATCGTGTATCATCGGAAGTATTCGGGAAAATGACGTAGTTGCTGGACCATTGAATGCGTAAATTTAAAAATGAACACGACTATAAACTGCTCTGGCTTATATTTTGTGTAAAATTAAGAATAGTAATGGTGAATGTCATGTAATAAACGCTTTTTTTAAATATAAACAGTTTGAGGTACCTATTTAGAAATAAATGGGACACGATAAGAAAAATCTTTATTATTGGAATTCACATAAAAATACATTGGTATATTTGCTTTCAACGACCACGTTACAATACAAGCAATTACAGGTGGTGAAGGCACAATATGTTTCAGAATATTTCTAATAGCACACATTAAAAAACAATCAATCATATCTTTATTAAATTCCCAATGAAATACCTACATATATATGAAAAATACAAGTACCACAAATTGAAACCAATAATTTTTATTGATCCTTTATGTACATGACAAGTCAAAATATTTAAATACAAAAATAAATACAAACAAAACTTATTAAACATAATTGACAATTTATAATATCATCAGAGTATTAATTACTCCATTTTTACTGCACCGATTATTGAAACATTACTATTTTAGTGTAGTGTAGAGGTAAACCATTGGAAAAATGTTGTACCCTAGTACACATTGTGCCCCAAATAGTACACGTAGTACATAAAAAGTACACAAAGTAAAATTAGGTTATAAAATTAACATGGTACTTGTGCCATTATCGTTTAGAGCTATTGTGATTTTTGAGGGGAAAATGCATTAATTTTGTTGCTTCCTTTAAGCTTTAGATCCCTTAAACCCTTTCCTTTTGGTTTATAGTTTGCAGAACGATGACACTTGTAGTAGGTGATAGTTTTACTTTTTGATGTTGCAGTGTGTTATACAAATTTTGAATTAGTTTCATTTTCCATTTGACTTTTCCAGTTAGAGAATTCATTTAGCGTGGCAAAAGTAATTTTTTCACTGACAATGAAGATGCCGTGATTTTCTGTGAAATGGCTATCCATGTCTTGAGTCGCAAATGTTTGATATTCACACAATGGACATTTTTTATAGTACCCAAGTTTTTGATTGCTACCAGTCATTTCACTGTTATGACTTTTTATATGGAAATTCAGGTGTTTTTTGTGATTAAAGTTTTTAGCACATATTTCACAAGTAAACTCAAAGTTAGCACTGACTTTGAAATAGTTAGGGGCCAGTTCATTTAATTGCTGAGGATGTAATTTCTTCACATGCCTCCTGAGGTTGGATTTGTTTAAAAAAAAATGATCATATTCGTTATACTGGATCTCCTTGTACTTTTCCATTGTTCTATAACCACACCACAGATCTTTTATAATAAATAAATATTGTTTATTATTAAACACTAATTTTTAACCTCACTATTGCATTGCACTTATTTGAATCATATGTCAACTGTCAAATATTTCGAAGCCGTCATGATCGGCTGTGACCTTCTGCCGCTAGACGCAAGTGTTCGTAGCGACGTCCGTAGCCTTAGCAAAGAGCCAATCAAATCACTTTCAGCTTGTCACGTGATTTTGACGCATGACAATGGAGCGGTTCTTCCTTTATTATTATTTGGCCTCCATCATATAGGGTACCACGAATACCACGCAGGGGATCGAATTTTTGTGCGCATGTCCACCGTAAGTGGAAATAGTAGCTTTGTTCGGCATACCGGTTTTTGTAGACGTTTTAGAACTGCGTGAAACTAGTTGCGCACTAAATTATGGTTCTAGTACTGTCCTAGAATCACCTAGAATTCAGTAAACTCGAACACTATTTTAACTTAATATTCGACCAACAGGGGACTCTGATAGTTATTTTCTTGATTTGACATCATATAGTAGTGTTCTGTGCGTTGCTCTACGATTGAACTAAGGAGTGACTGGAGTTGATTGAGTAAGAACGAAGTGTCGTTCTCTGTTCTGTGCATAGATATAGAAAGATCAACGAATAGTTGTGCTTAGTGTTAAAACCAAACTCGGTTTTGTTTTGACGTTTGGCAGTTGTTTATTATCAATGGTTATTGTTATTTTATTGCGTACACCAGATATTTTATATGTACATTGTTTCGTCCCAGAATAATTAATTACTCGTTGTTGCCGAATTCAAATAAATAAAAAATTACCGAATATCTTGAAACTTTTAATAGTTATTCTATTTAAAAAAATGTCTGGTAAGTAAAATAAAAAGCTGATGAGAGATATTTGTTAATTGTAATTTTAATGTTATTTTAGAGCCTGCGTTAATAAGGCAACAGAAGACGAAAACTATTTTAATAAAAATAGAACACTATCATCATTGATAAATTTTTACAAAATTTATAAGCCAAGGTTGGCATGTGGCGAAATTAAAAATTTAAAAAAATTGTTTGAGCTAATCGTCAGGGACATGTCCAATTTGTATAAAATAACGATTAGTTCAAGTAAATGTGAAAATAAATTTAAGGTTTTGGAAAGAAATTACAAAAAGACAATTGATAATAATAATCAAACTGGAAGGGGGAGAAAAACGTTTGAATTTGAAGAACAATTCAACGAAATATTTGGAAAAAAGAAACATACAGCCATTACTATTATTGGAATCTAACGAATGTATAAGACGGGCAGAGGTGGCTCATTCTTCATTAATTACCAAAGATGTGGATAAATCCTCTACTTTAGTGTCTAAAGATGTGGACATAGAAAATATTCAAGAAAATATAAGGGTTGCAGAGAGCACCTCAATTACTACCCCTCATACTTCAAAGAGGAAGAGGAATGTACCTCCTTACAAAAAAAAGAAATGAGTTGTTATTAGAAATTAAAAATGACTTGAAAGCATACTATGCACAAAAAATTGATATTGATAGGGAAAAATTAGAAATAGAGAAAAAAGTTAGAGGAGCGACAAAAATGCACAATTATCCAGCAAGAACATTTAACCGAGATTAAAACTCATAATGAGAAATGTGCAGGTTGTTGCAAACATTTGTAATTCAAATAGAACTCGTTTTTTGTTAGCTTGTAAATATTTTTTGTTATCTTATTTGGTTTATAAATATTTTGTTTATTTTTGTGTTATTCTATTTAGTCATTTTATTGTATAAATATTTTGTTTATTTTTTGTTATTTTATTTAGTTTTTTTGTTATTTTATTTATATTAGAAAACTCATTTTGTTTGTTTTATTTAATTTAGGTATATTAGAAAATCTGTTTTATTTTATTTGTTTGATGTATTATTTATGTTATTTTTTTAATATTAACCTATTTAGTTCCTTTTTTTATTTCAAGTTTAATAAAACAATAATTGAATACAGATACATCATTTAATTATAAATACAACATAAATTAAAAAAAAGCACATGTATGCCATGTAATTAAAAAAATCATCTGGCATGATATAATACACTGGCCACATAATTTCTATAATGTAAGCCTATAGGGTTATCCTCATTCTCGTTAACATTTGCTTGAATATTAGGTGCACCTTCTTCTTGAAGTTCTTCAAATAAACCATCATTTTCAATAGACATATTGTGCAAGACCCAAGACACAAGACTCTTATGAAATGACAAATAGTTTCAATCCCTCTTAATTTGAAATGGTATAGTTGACGAAATTTTTGTTTAAGTATCCCAAAAGTGTGTTCAATTAGAATTCTACTTTTACTTAACATTTTATTATAATGAATTTCAATTTCTGTTAAATTACCAGTATTTTTATAAGGGGTTAATAAATTTCATAAACATGGATAGGCACTGTCTCTTAAAATACAATTATCACCAAATTTTTGCTCTAAAGCGTTGCCTAGTGCTGAATTTCCAAAAACTCTAGCATCGTGGACAGAACCAGGAAATCCAATAAAAACATCTCTTATTTTTCTCCTCACATACAGCTTGAATCTTAAATGAAGAAATATTTAAATTAAACAATTTTACAGACGTTCTTTCTAATTTTTCATGAAATGTTTTTCCCATAATTATTAGTATTATTCAAAAATAAAATTTGGGAAATACATTATTAGTTAATCAGACTTAATTTTTAATATCTACAGTAGTTAATAAAACGCTACTTAAATGCACTGAATAATATTTTTTCAATTAAAATATGACTCTGGATCATCACTAGGTGTATCGATTCTTATGTGACTCACATCAATGCAACCAAGGACATTTTCAAACCCCATATTTCCAAAATCTCCACCTTTTCTTCTTGCGTTGGCCAAGTAATATTTGCAGATGACAAATTTGACAAAAATATGGAAACTTTTTTAATCACCTCGTGTAAAGTACTGATACTGATGTCAAATCTGTCCCCTACGTCTCTAAATGAAGCAGCCTCATGCCCTGCATACCATAAAAATATGAGGATGCATTTTTCAGGATTTATCCTCAAATGACCTGTGTCTTGTGATGGGTAAAACTCAGACACTTCATATTGCTGTGCTAGGGTATGTACAAGACCTCGAGAAACTCTAGAAAAAAATATTCAAATTGAGTAATAAGGCAATATGTTAAAAAGGCAGCTATATTTATTACCTAAAATGTTCAAAAAAATCTTTTTCGGTGTATTGTGCGGCAGTTATATCTACAAAGTCTTCATTTTTAGTTTTACTTTTGTAAATTTCATTGTAAATTAAGTTTACAAAAATTTCAGCATCATCAGAACTGGATGAAGATCCTGAACTGCTATCCGTTGAATCAAAGTCCATTGTAAAGGGTCCAAACAAAATTAAAAAAAACAATCACCACTTAAAAACTTGAACTACTTATATAAACAAATATTCAGCCAAATTTAGTTAATAAACAAAATACTCAGTAGCATCTATCTAGAATAAACGCGAACCGACAACAATAACAAACAAACTAAACAAAAATAAACCAAATAAACGTAACCTACCCTTACACTTACAACTCTACCAGGTAAAGTTAAACGGCTCTTTGCGCATGCCTACAAACACAGTCCCCATGAGTTCGCAAGTTTTCTTGGAAATCATTGGGAACGGTTCTAGGATTGTTAATGACAGTTATTGAAAAAACCAAAACACTCAATCCTAGAATGTTCTAGAACTTTATTTGGAGAAACCCGAACACATAAATTTAAATGCACATGATTATAACGATTTGAAACCGTCCTCAAAGGTAAGCCGAACAAAGCTATTGTCAAAACAACATCAAAACAGTAAACAAACAGCCATTTTGTACAGCCATTCGTTATTCGTGTGTCGTTGTATTCGTTTGTGTTTGCCTTTTTGCTAAGGTAATATTTATAATTGTGTTTCCTTCCTTAAACTATTAGTTTTTGTTAGTTTTTTAAGTGTAGGTAGTTATAAATTTATAAACTATAAAGTGAAAATAATATGGATTTCGAAATGAGCAGTTATGAATTGGAAGATGAGAATGAGGAGTCTCAGCTATCAGTGAGTAAGAAAATTTTATTAATTTGATATACCTAAGTACATAAAATAATGTAATAGACAAAATACCTCTTGTTTTCTATTTCTTAAATATTTTTTTTTAATTTCAGAAAACTCTGAGCTTTACGCCAATCTACAGCTCCATCGTATGGAGAAATGGACCACGGCCTCCTTATTGAGGCAATTCAAGGTTTCCCTTATATTTTTGATTTAGGGAACAAAGAATACAAAAACAATAAAAAAAAGCAACTGGCTTGGCAACAAATATCCGAGGTTGTTAATTGTAGTGGTAGGTAATTTTTCCATTGTTTGAACTTTGTAATGAAAAATTTCATGGTTTTAGTGGAGGACTGTATCAAAGTGTGGAGGAACTTAAGAGACAGGTTCCTTAAAGAGAAAAAAAAAATCAAGTTCAGGAGCTGAGGCTCCAGAAATAGTCTGGTCATATTTTGAGAGAATGATGTTTTATGAAAAATATTCAAAACCACGCAAGTAAGTCTGGATTTCTTAATTAACCCATTAAAGTGTGCTATAAAGTTTAATTGTTATTGATTCATGGCTTTTTATTAGAATTTACACTACAACAAAAAAAGAAGACATGAGACCATCGAGCCAGTTGTCGGGGGAAAGTACGCCTTCCTCCTTTTCATCAGTCTGGAGTTCGTATAGCCAAATTATGTCCCCAACTGAGGTGGTAGAAGATGGGGAAACCCCAGGACCCTCGAAAAGGGTAAATACCCCAGCTGAATCCCCTAGAAATATTACAACAGAAGCCCCAGGACGCTCGAAGACACCAAATACCCCAGCTGTTGGTGGGGCCCCTCTTTCAGCCTTTGGTAAGAATTCTTTGGATTCTTTTATTCTAAATTAAAATACCTCTTCCTATTATTAAATATTTTCTTTTATGTAAATATGTTGTTTTTTCAGGACATGACAAAAAGAGAAAAAGGGCCCAAGATATTGTAGGGGAGGTTGGACCAATTGTTGGGGTTGCCAATTCCATAATGGAAAGATTAAGTAAAAAAGAACAAAATGTAAACAGCACATTTGTGGCATATGTTTATGAAGAACTCCACAAAATGAGTGAAGAGGAAGCAAAAAAAAAAGAAAACAAATATTAAAAATTTTATTTGATGAAAGTGAATAAATTTTTATGAAATATTTTAAATATTGTTTTTTTATTTATCCAAATTTAAGGTTTACTTACTGGCACATGTGCATAAAATATAAAACTGAAAGATTCTAAAACATATACTAAACAAAGACCGAAACATGCATTTGTAGAATATTTATCTGTAATTATAAAGCACTTATATCACCCCCTATAATTCCCCATAAAACTTTATTATTGTCCCAAGAATTCAACCATATATACACTAATTTACTTCTCTTACTTGTGATTAAATATACCCATTTGCTCAGTAATATCAATTAAATAATGTTTAATTTTGTTAACGATTATAGAAAAATTATGTTTACCCTTCATAATTTATTAACTTCCCAATCATCACAATTTTTGAAACAAAGCCATTTAGAGGGTGTTCATGCATAGATTCAACAAATAAAAAATAGATTAAAACCATTGAAAATTATTGTTTACGTATAACTTAAAATAAAAAATGGTAGGTAAAAAGTGTATTAGAATACCTAGAATTTTATAAAAAAAGGTTGATACCTACAAATTAAAATATAAAGAACAAATAAAGTATTACTGCTAAAACATAACATAAGAATACAAATTTATAATACAATCACATCAGAACAAGAAGTCAAAAACATTCGGAATTCATTTTAGTAAAAATGTAAACCCTTAGAATAAAAAAATCATGAAAAGTACATAATATATGTGCGTAAAATATACAGCGTGACCTAAAAATGAAGCACAATTTTACCTTAGGCTTAATATTTCAATAACTCTGTATAATACATTTTTAAAAGAGGTGCACAGGTAACTACACTGTTTGGAAACCACTTCACTTTTTGCCAAGGAACTCGCCCTTCATCTTAGATGAAATAGCTGGCTAATGTGTCTCTTATTCCATATATGAAACGTTTTGTTACATTAGCCCCTAGTCTACCAACATATTGTAAAGGCTCTTGTTCTGCTCTCCAACTGCCATTTTCTTCACCGTCTCTATCTACAAAATTTGGAGGACAATATATATTTTCATGTCCTAGTTCTGACATTTCAGTTTGACAATAATTATGTAACACAACTAGAGCCTTTACAATATTGTCTATGTTTTCAACTTTGGCATTAATGGTTGTCTTTAATAACCTCCACCTAGCTACAACTATCCCAAAAGTATTTTCAATAACTTGTCTAGCTCTAGATAGTCTGTAATTGAAAATTCTTTGGGTGTTTGTTAAATTTTTCCCAGGGTACGGCCTCATGATATATTGTTTTAGAGGAAACGCTTCATCCGCAATAAAGAAATGTGGTAATGAAGTATTTATGCCTGGTAAGGGTTTTTCTAAGGGTATAACCATGTCACAATTCTCCATCCTCTGCCCAAACATGCTGTGCCTAAACACTCCACCATCACTTTGTGACCCATATGCGCCAATATCCACTGAAGTGAATTTATATTTGTAGTCATATGAGGCCAACAAAACTACACTAAATGACTTTTTGTAGTTAAAAAATAATGAGCCACTTTTTGATGGAGCCTGTATATTTACATGCTTTCCATCAATACTTCCCAAGCAATGGGGAAAATTCCAAAGTTCTTGAAATCCTTGGGAAATATTAAGCCACTCTTCTACAGATTCAGGAGTTTTAAGGTATTGAGGACTTAAAACTTCCCATAGAGCTGCACAAGTTGAGTGTATTATGTAATGGACAGTTAAAAGTCCTATATGAAATGTCCATGCAAGGGCCTGCATACTTGTACCTTGGGACAGAAACCTGAAAAATAAAAAATTGTTTTTTATTATCCTCAAAGTTTATAGTGATTACAAAAGCTTTCTGAAGAGTGAAGCCTTTGTTCGGGTGATATGCCGTCATTTCTGTACTGCTTGCCTATTCTAGGTTTAATTTTCAACAACAATTTTTCAAATACAGGAACTGTCATTCAAATAATATTAAAAATTTGTTTTTAACAAATGCTTGATTAATAAATTTGTTTAATTTTCAAATAATAATTGAGAAATATTATATTTTTGTTTATCTTGGAAAGTATAGAATTATTTTTTTTTTTTCGAAAAAATTCAAAATTACTTTAATTTCTGTTTGTTATTAGTAACAAAAATTCATCACCCTAATTTAAATAATTATTTGAAATTTTTGATCACGAAAGCAATATTCCGGGTCATCTTAAAAATAAAATAGTTTGGTTTTTAAATAGTAAACATGTTTTATTCGTAACTTGTACTATTAATAAATAAAAAATTTGACAACAACTTATTACTTATTTTGTTTTTTCATCAAGCATATTTATCGTGATAATAAAATTAACAGCCATTAGACAATATTTAAAAAGTATTGTTACTAGCAAATAGTAATTTTGAGAGTCAATTTTTAGTTTATTTACATGTGAAGATTAAAAATAATTAATAAATTCAATTCTTAAGAGCAAACATGACGGGCGCTCCTCCGCCAAAAATCAATCTTACATTTGAGGCAGTTAAAAAAAATTGTAAAAAAAATGGTTTAGGCCAATCGTTCTAAAAATGAACCAAGAATGACGCTAAACCGCGAAAAACTTATATTTTCAAAGAAAAACAACAAAAATTTCAACTTTTTAACAAATTTTATATTTTGGCTCTTTAGCGATATTCTATAACAAATATCTTAACTATTTTCTAAATAACTTTTTTTTTAAATATATCTTCCACAGTCACCCTCTATTTGTAAATTTCTTTAAAATTTTAACTAATTTGTTAACTTGTTTTCAATTTTGTGAATAGTGAAGGTGGCATAATTCCTTAATTCCACACAAGCTAACTTGCTTCTGGAGATCAGATCAGAATTGATTTGTAAGGGCTTATCCCACACTCACTATTCCCAATACCAGTTTTTTGTCACTTTGTTTGTTTCTTGTAATTGTTAATTTGTTCAAACAATCGTATATATACAATTTTAACTTTTGACTTAAAAGTCTTATTCAGATTTTATTATATATTTTTTTAAATTGTAAGTTTACATCCACAATTTTTGTAGATAAGCACTAATGATGGCAAATAAGCCGAAAGCGCTTTGCATTTATTAATTAAAAAGTTTTGCACGAAATACAAGTCTTTCCTTTTGAATTTTTCTGTTTATTTTGTACAACCTATTGTAAATGTTTAGAAGATGAACTAAATATATACATGTTCCATATACATCTTACTGAAAACATTTTTATATATAAATGATTGGGTTGAATTGAGGAATTGAGTACTCAAGTGTGTATATATAAATGTTTAATACAATTTGGCTAGCGCTTTCGACAAAACATTGTCATCTTCAGGCCGTCCTACAAAGTTTAAAATTTAATACGAGAAGTAAGGGTGAAAGAATTACCTTACGTCAATAGATATCTATCCAGAGTTAAAATTGAATAAAAATACATGGGTTAAAACATTGAATACATTTTTGAAAAAGGGGGTGTTGAAAATTATCAAAACACACCATTATATTTCGTATTTTACAAATACATTATCAGTTAAAAAAATTTAAATTTTAACGGTACATCGTACCTATTAGACAGTGGACAAATGACACATAGACAGACTGACACATGACATAGGCGTAAGGCGGGAGTGTTCGACATTGGTTCTGGAGTTAACCGATATATGTGATCTATACTTATTCAAAAATAATACAATGGTTGAAAAGTTGTAAAGGGTATAATAAGTTTCTGCAGGACATGATCCACACAGCGGTCCAGAGAGACTTATTATAATGGTTTGGGGGAACTATTGTAGCTTCGAATTTTTAGAGTAGAGGAAGGGCAATGACTCTAGATCCATACTATGCCAGAGAACTTGAAGGTGATAGACGTGACTAGACCATGATCCATACATGGCTATTAGTCGAAGAGTGAAGGGTAAATTAGAAAAAAAATAAGAATAGAGAGGGAATTTTGCCGAAAAGTGAAAGGGGTATAGAAAAGACAAATTACTACCTAGATCCATACTAGGCAGTAACAAAGATAGTACAAATACACGTTTTTCGCCTTTTACGACACAGCTGTGTGCTGGGTTACCTATTCTATAACCGAGTAACCACGGTGAATAGGAATAAGTGTAGGGTTAGGGTCAGACTCCAAAACCAATAGAGGGTCCTCCTGATTAGTTACTTAGTGAATTTAACAATTATGAAATTTATAAATAACTGAAAAGTGAATTAATTACAATTTAAAGATGTTAATAAGTTAGGGGTTTATGATTACTAATGGATTTAATATTTTAATTGAAATGGTGGGATTCCCAGAGGGCTTTAAATAATGGATTATAATTACAATTTAGGTGAATTTGAGTGTTTAAACAATGATCGGGATTCAAGTTCATTTCACGAAGGATCTCCAAATCCTCCAGAAGGTCCATC